TCTCTTGTCATGCTGAAGCACTCAGAGTTCCTTTCACTGGACCTAAGGGGCCAAGCCCAGCTCCTGAAAAACAACCCCATACCATAATACCATAATAATTGTACACTTGGCACAATGCAGTCAGACAAGTACCGTTCTCCTGGCAGCTGCCAAACCTAGACGCATCCATCAGATTGCCAGATGGAGAAGCGTGATTTGTCACTTCAGAGAACATGTCTCCACCGCTCTAGAGTCCAGTGGCGGCATGCTTTTCACCAATGCATCCGACACGTTGCATTGCTCTTGGTGATTAATATAGTATCATTTATAGTATCATATGAATAATATATCATACGCACCACTTTATGAACTTGACGCAGATAGAAAAGAGCATCTTATGAACTCGATGCAGACAGGAGGACAGAGCATCTGAACTTGATGAAGAAGATAGTAGATAAACAAGAGAACAGAGCATCTTATGAACTTATATCATGGACTTGAGGGATGCACTGAAACCGGTAGAGTTTTGCCTTAGATAATTTAATGATTTGTAAATTGACAAATTGTATACATCTAACAAAGAATAAAACAAATCATTATTTTCTAAATCAGCAGTTTCATTTTGATAATTTAATTATTATAAAGAATTGGTACTGGGTATTGGCCATCACAAATAGTGTCAGTGCATCACAAATAGAACAGTCACTATTTTAAAAGAGCTCTTTGTTCGGTAAAGGGGTTTGCCATCTTCCATCTTCAAAGTGAGCAAGAACTCCCTGGTGCTTGTCCAATTCCTAGAACCAACCCTTTGGATCTGGGATTGCGACTATTCAAGATGTCAAACAGCCTGTCTGCCATCTATAAACAAATATATAAATTAACTGGAAGCACTGAAATCATCACTACAACTTAGTGTCAACAGGAATCAGATAGTAAACACCAAAGTATGAGGCATAGTTTGATTTCTCTCCATTTCCTCTGTAGCTATGCTTTTTAAAATTAAATTGCAGCATTGCTTTAAACCTGTAAATCTGCGATGTGACAATAAGGGTGCTTCTGAGGTAAGTATGAGGTAGGTATAAACAGTTTTATCTAAGTTCTTGCATATTGTTGAATTTGCGGAGGGTCATAATTATTTAATCATTCCTGATGCAAAAAAATGAAAAAAAGAAAAGAAAAAGATAAAGGGTTAATCCTGGTGGCATTCACATTTTAACAGCCACCCTTGTTTCGGTGTTACCTGAATAAATTCTGAAGTCGCCTCACAATCTTTGAACTCTACAGAGCCCACGTCCTGCAGGGTGTGGAGCGCCACTGCCACAGAGTTACTCAAAGTCTGAGCAGCCAGGGACACCTGGATTGAGTTCATAAGGAGAAATGAAGAGCACGTTTGCTCTGCAAGATACAAACATCATCAAAAAGCATAAAAACACAATAAGGCCATAGAGTCCATTTCTATTGCAGCTCTCTATACATAAATCATCATGCAAACATACCTTCATCCTCTGATTAGCAAAGTTCATATGCTTATCTGTGACTCGGTTGGCAGCATGTAGTCCACTTTTCTTTTGAACATTGTTCACTTCCAATCAATACTGCCAGTTATGCTTCTAATGGGACTGTATGCCAGCACAATAAGATTGTTTTTCATTGCACACGTCAAATGTAAAGCACCATGTTTTGCACAATTATGTGAATACAATCAAAATGCAGAAAAAGCAAAACAGAGTCAACCAGAGCAAATAGGCAATAGTGAGCGCGTACCTGCAACATATTGTGTGTCAGCTTCAGTATGTGGCAAGCGTCCATCATAACAAAAGCTCGCCAGATGCGGACTTTAAAACTTCACAAAAAGTAAAAAACAGATTTTAAAAAATGCCTCTGCATTTCCATCATACTAATCAAGTACAACTACGTGACTATAATAATAGTAAAAATGTAGAAGAAAAAAACAAAGAAAATAGCTAAAAACATAGAAAGTAGATAGGAGCTGCTGCAACTGGCTGCCACTCTCACGGCGCGATAGCGTATTTTATTTGTATTTTTTAAATTTGAATTGTAGCTACGGTAATAACGTGTGTAAGAAACCAAAGCATTTGTGAATCCGCCAAGATTTCAGCGAGATAAGAGTGTTTACGTTTGTGCAGATCACTCACCTTCCTTCATGTACCACAGGTTCCGCCAGAGAGCTGCCTCGAATCAAGATGTCCGCCGGTGATTCCGTTCGAAACGACACCTTAAGACATCTGGCCTTTATATATAGGCTCGATATGTGTTAGGCAGAAATCTAATGGACAGTATTGACACACATTCTGTGAGGAAGACAGACATATAGCAGAGCCTTGTGCCAGCAGAAATCAGCACTGATTACCAATCACTGATGAGCAACAAGATTACCCAAATGCTGGACACATATCCTCCATGCAGGACAGATTGTAATTACCATAGAAAGAATGTACGAGCTAAATAAAGAAAAAAACCCTCTCATATATTCTTTGCTTAGAAAATATTTATTTCACGTAATGTACACTGTACAAAGACATTGAAGCATGTGAGATACGTTGAGATCTCATTCTTCACAATCACATTTTGTGGAACATTTCCTCACTTATGTCTTAGATTGCTACAGGATTTCTTTTAAACCATATAGGTAACACAGTGATTCTCGTCATATCAACAGCCTTTAAAGGGATCATACTCCAAATACAAACACACTTTTGCTATTCTTCCTAATATAGCTTTCTTTGCTAAATCTAGAGGCATTTATTATTGGAACAGTTGAATGTAATACATAAATTTTGGCTGTGCATAATGATTTAGGCAATGATTTTTCAAAAACAATGGCATTAATATACAAAATAATCAGCAGTCAGTATTATTCTATCAGTCACTAACGAGTCATATGTCATACAGGTCAGTCTAATGTTAGATTAATTTAAGACATAGATGTCTTTGTTCCAAAGACTTCCAATGAATAACTGTAGCAGCTTTATAGTGACAATGAAATTACAACCATCTGATGCCTCATTGTGATTGTTTGATGTTTTTGATGTATTTTCATGTTGGTGAAATCCTTTTGTTCTGTTGCTCGTTCTTAAACATCAGTAGAGGAACTTATCGATCAGCAACATTAATGCCCTTTTACAGAAATGACTGTAGAATCACTGCAGTCTGTCCCTGTCTTTAATGACTCCTGCAAAACTGCCATACCTATTAATTCTGTATTCAGCCATATGGTACTGAGACTTGTCCACTTCATATCACCTTCTCTGAAGTTTTGTATATGCATTTTGTTTACTGCATAGTGCTAATTAGTATATGTTAACACGCTAATGCAAAACTAAAATGGTGACCATGGCGAACACAGTTGTCTTGTTTGCATTTTCTGAATCCAAATTTAAGCACTTCATATGTTCAGGTAATTAAACAATTAGAGAAGATGCAGTTTTAATAACAGCAACTATCTTCTTTAATTGATCCTTTCAGTTCTCTCACTGTTGATCTGTTGATGGTATGTATGGTAGAAATCCAGTGGCATCGAGTCTAAATTCCCATTGTGAACATTTGGATTCAGTAATTGTCATTGTGAACATGTTAGCATGCTGACATTGCTGTGCAGGCACTCTAGCTTTATAGTCTGTGTTGTCTTGACTTGGAATCTGGGTCTGGAGCCAATCCCACTTGACAATGGGTCATTCACAGGGCTAACACAGAGAGAGAGCGAGCGAGAGAGAGAGAGAGAGAGAGA